TTGCTGCTAGTGGGGATATAAAATGATACAGCCTCTTTGGGAAACAGTCTGGCAGTTCCTCAAATGATTAAACAGAAGCAATACCAGATGACCCTATAACTTTACTTCAAGGTATACAGCCAAAGAAATTTAAAAAGCCAGGTGCCGGTGGCTCACATATGTAATCTTAGCTACTGTCAGGAGGCTGAGATCTGAGGATCACAGTTCAAAGCCAGCCCAGACAGAAAAGTCTGAGACTCATGTCCAGTAAGTGGCCTAGCCTGGACAAAAAGGAGCTCAGGGAGAGTGCCCAGGCTAAGTTCAAGCCCCAGGGGGTAGGAGTTGGAGAGAGAAAGAGAGACAGACAGACAGACAGACAGACAGAGAGATCTCAAGAGCAGTTTGAAGCCAGCCCAGGTAGAAAAGTACATGAGACTCTCATTTACAATTAACCACCAGAAAAGCAGAAGTGGAGCTGTGGCTCAAAGTGGTAGATTGCTAGCCTTGAGAGAAAAGGCTCAAAGATTGCACCTACGCCATGAGTTCAAGCCCCACAACCAACAATTAATTAATTAATTAATTAAATGGCAAATGACCTGAAGATACTTTTCAAGAGAGGAAGTATAAATGGCCAATAAGTATGTAGCAAAATGTAAATCAAAACTACATTGAGAGGGAAAAACTGGTAGAGAGCAAGGGAAAGGGTGACATTGTCCAAAAAGAAATGTACACATTACCTGACTTAAATAACTGTAACCTCTCTGTATATCATTTGTATAACAACATTTAAAATATTTTAAAAATTTAAAAACTACAATGAAATTCCACTCTGCAGTCAGAATGGCTATCACTGGAAAAACAAAAATAATAGATGTTGGCAAGAATCTGGGGGAAAGGACCCTTACATACTAATAGTGAGAATATAAATTAGCATAAGCACTTTGGGAATCAATATAGAGGTTCCTCAAAATAATTTAAAATAAGATTACCATATGACACAGCCATTCCTAAGTATATACTTGAAGGAATTAAAGTCAGCATGTTAGAGAGTGGGTTGATAGAAGAAAGAGGGTATTGAGAAGAAAAGAGGTATAGAGGGTAATGGGCGGAATATGATCAGGTAAGTTACATACATGAAAATGTTTCTGCATGAAAATTGTTACTCTGTATAATCAATATACACTAATTTTTTTAATAAAAGATGATTTTGGGGCTGGGAAGGTGGCTCAGTGGTAGAGCACTTGCCTTGCATGCATGAGGCCCTGGGTTCGATTCCCCAGCACCACATAAGCAAAAAGAAAAAAAGCCGGAAGTGGCGCTGTGGCTCAAGTGGTAGAGCACTAGCCTTGAGCTGAAGAGCTGAGGGACAGTGCCCAGCCAGAGTTCAAGCCCCATGAGTGGACCTCCTCCCCCAAAAAAAGATGATTTGACAATCCGAACCCACACTTAGGTTCTATGACCTCAGAAACTCTTTCCAATGAAAACATGTAATTATGTCATCTGCTACAGGTAGAACACAGACAATGTGAATAGTTAATGCCAGGTTGGTGCTTTACCTCACCATTACCAGTACAGAACAAAGATCAGCTTCATATTAAGCAGTGGGTAGAATGAAGAAGGGATTGCTTCCTATGTCTTTTTTTAGCTGTTCTTTCAATGAGCATTAACAGGCACCAAATCTAAGCATGCCATCCTCCTAGAAGGCTTCAAGTATAGAACTAAGTATGACATTCTGCTTAATCCTCACAGAATTTCCAATCTGGTAGGACATCAAACTCAGACAGGCATGACATAAGCAACAAAAACTGCCCAATATAACCACAGAAGGGAAGTAAGTGATATGTCTCATGAGCACAGCTGTGGCCAGAGTTGGGGGTGGGGGAGTGAAGGGGGAAACGGGGTGGAGGGGGAGAGGGTCAGTTAGAATGGTTATGTAGGATAGGCATACTGGAGCTACATATTGTTCACTGCATGATGTGATGCCCCCCACTTTTCTTGTCTGTCATGGGGCTTGAACTCTGGGCCTGAGCGCTGTCCCTGAGCCCTTCAGCTCAAGGCTAGTGCTCTACCACTTGAGCCACAGCGCCATTTCTATGATGCCCATTTGAAGTGACTAGAGATCAATTAAGAGTAAAATCATCTTTGTGGAGTGGTTCCTCCACACCCTGCCATTGATAGGCCCCTCTATTGTGTTTAGCATGGACTGTACATACTTTGGCATGTTTTTATGTCAGGAAATGGCTGGGCACTGGTGGTTCATGTCTGTAATCCCAGCTACTCAGGAGGCTAAGATCTGAGCACTGAGATTTGAAGCCAGCACAGGCAGAAAAGTCTGTGAGTCTCTTATCTCCAATTAATCACCAAAAAGCCAGAGTGGAGTGGTAGTTTTAGCCTTAAGTGGAAAAAGCCAGGCAAGAACACAAGGCCCTGAGTTGTGGTGGGGACAAAGGGGAGAGAGAGCCAGGAGAGAGAGGCAGAAGTTGTGCTGTGGCTCTAGTGGGTAGAGCACTGGCCTTGAGCTGAAGAGTTGAGGGACAGCATCCAGGCCCAGAGTTCAGGCCCCAAAACCAATAATAATAATAATAACAACAGTAAAAATAATAATAGATAGGATTGGCCAATAAATCAAAAATGCATTCTTTAGAAGTATTAATTAAAAGACTGGGTATGTGGCTTAGTGGTAAAGTGCTTGCCTTGCATGCATGAAGTCCTGGGTTCAATTCCTCAGTACAACATAAACAGAAAAAGCCAGAAGTGGCACTGTGGCTCAAGTGGTAGAGTACTAGCCTTGAGCAAAAGAAGCTCAGGGACAGTTACCAGACCCTGAGTTCAAGCCCCAGGACTGGTAAAAAAAATTATTAATTAAAAAAGCAATCATCCAACAAATCTGACAATAAAATAGAGAAAATGCCTCATTTAAACATTAGTATTAACAAAATAGCATCTCACAAGTACATAAATTTATTGTCTTACAGTAGGATACTACATATAACATTATGCTAACATACTTTTAAGTATCAGTAACGTTATTGATATAGCTAGGAAAATAATAAACTGAGAAATACTGATAATGATCCTAGAAATATTAATGGTTAGGGAAAAACGTGAAAGTAGTTAAATACTGATATCAACTTCCTAAAAACACCAACAGCAGTCCAGGCAGTTGGTAGTAAAATTCTGCTAAACTTCAAGGAACAGAAAATTCTACTCCAGAGCACAGAAAATGATGGGAAGATTCCCAACTTAGTTACAACAGCATAATGTTAATTATGACCACCACATGGTTAAAGAGGAAAACTATATACTGATTTCATTTATTAAAGCTATATACAAATGTCACCCTTAAATCAAGGTATCAAACCCTAAATAAAATCTATCAAAGAACCCCAAATGCATTTTTAAATGTGCTAGGATTTTAGAAAGAAAATTTAGCAATGTTGTCACTTATATTAGCAATCAAGGAAGCCAACATGATCATATCAATGTATGTTGTACAAAAGCAGCTGAGAAAAAAACAATTGGCACCCACCCCTGACTGTTAAAATCTTAGTATTTAGAAATAAATAGGAACTCACCTAACATGGTAAAGAGCCTTTCCAAATATATAGACATAACATTCCCCGAAAACCAAACCTAAGAGGAAGACATCCTATTGGACTTTAAAAGTCAATACTGTAGTATGGCTGATGGAAGGCAAGAATTAAGAAGCACAAATCTTAAGAAGAGATACAGAGTTTCTTAATAGACAAATTATTTACCTGGAACAGCTAAACAAATCAACTAAAAATGAACATTCATAGAGTTTAGATGGAGGCTCAGCTTCCGTTTAAACTTGCTTGTTTTGAGAGTTAATCATGCCAAGTGAGTATTTTCTAGACTGAGGTATTAGGATTGACAAGCTTGGGCCCCACCCCATTCTGCTTCCCATCTTAATCATGGCAATAACACAGTGTTTGAAAACTGGATAACCAAATCTTGCGACACCAAAAATCGTTCTGAGGGGTTGAGCTGTGTGTGGCTCTGCTCAAAAACACTTTATCTCTCCCCTGCAGCTACTGCAGTTACTGAGGGATAAGCGTGTCAGCCAGTCAGTCCCACGTAATGCATCCGACAGAGGGCAAGGAAGAGCCCTCTAAGGGAATATTTTCTCTTTCAAACCTATGCTGCTTATTATATAAACTTTGCGTGCTGGCAAATGGAGCTTCCGTAAAATACAAATAAGACAGATATTCAGAGTCAAACTTGCTTAATAAAAAGGGGGGGGGGAAGCACATAAAAGTAATTTTTGTCTCTGAGGCTTCTGGACAAGAAAATTGTTACTGTTGCACTCGCGGCTGGCTCCGCAGCACCAGGACCTGTCCAAGCTCCCTGCCCTCGACGCCGGGGTCGCGGGGAGAGGGGGCGGCTCAGCAGGCGCCCTGCTCAGTGGCACCGCCGGCTAGCCCCGGAGACGCGCAGCCTGCGCTCTGTCCTGGTCCCTCGGGGCTACAAGGGGGCCGGAGCTGCGTGATTGTGAGGACGGCCGAGGGCTCATCAACTCCTCCCATCATATAGCACCTTTCCCCGGCCCCCCTCCGCGCCCTCGGGCAGTACCAGCCCGGGTGCAGTGGACTCCCTGAGCCCCAGGGTTTCCAGCTGGATGCACCCACGCACCTGTCCCACCACAGCGAGGACTGCAGGTGCATCCCCAGAGCCACAGTCGTAGGGGTCATCTGGTCCTCTGTCCCAGGTTGCTGCGCCAACCCTCCTCCCCTGGGCCCTGAAGGGAGAGGGGTGGCCACCTGCTTCTGCCACCTGCAACGCTGATCCCTCCACTCCAGGCTGGACAAGACAAGGCAGAACGCCCCTGTCTGGCTGGGGACAGGAGAGGAACTGGGGTCACCGCAACGATCTCCGCAGCGCGTCTTTCCACAGAGGAGTCCTGCGTCCCCGCGCTGGGACTCAGGGACTCCTTTGCCCGCCCGGGAATGATCAGGCATGTGAGGCGCAGAAGAGAGTGCGGGCGTACGGCTCCACCTCACCTGTCCGGCTCGCCTCCCACTCAATTCTCCAGGTGCTGCTGCAACCTGCAACCCGCAGCCCGCAGCCCCGCTGTTGTCTAGCTGGTGCTCACCGGTGCCGGTGGAAAGGTCCGGGGATCCCTCAGCGCCTATCCATCAGCAACCTCCAGAGGGCGCGCGTGAGTCGAAGCGAAGATCACTGGGAGATGTAGTCTGGGGTTTCCGCATCTTCGCCCTTCAGCATCTTTCAGCTTCCTCCAGGAGGCGCACGCGAACCGGAGGAAGGATTACTGGGAATTGTAGTCCAAGGTCCTTCTTCTCCCGCCTCCTGCATCCTTTGCCTCTTCCAGGCCTCACTCACTCTCTGCTGCCGATGGGGGAGGGGGGGTGGGGTCCTCACTAGGAGGCCTGACATCCCTCCCAGACATCCAGACTAGTGTTCCTAAAGTGTGACACTTGAACCAGCAGTTTCTGCATCCTCTGCGACCTTGATGTAAGTGCGGAGTCTCCATCTCACTGGGCTTATTTGGCTTTGGGTTTTTTGTTTTTTTGTTTTTGTTTTTGCAATGATGTGAATGGAATCCAGGGCCTCCCACTTGCTAGGTGAGCAGTCTACCTGAGTTACACAGTCAGCCCTATGTAGACTTTTCCTCCTCCTCCTCCAAAAGGAACACACACACACACACACACATACACACACACACACGCACACACCTGTGTGTTCCTATCTACAGTGTAGGCAACCCAGACATTTCTGTCTGACCTACACTTCCCCACTCACTCTAACCTTTTTTCCCCAATGTCCAGCCACCATCTCGAGGAGCTAGCTGAGGCATCTGAAACTCCACAAAGTCAAGACTAAGCTCAGGAGCTTCATTCTCCTCAAACTGATTCTCTTCCAGTGGGCCTTATGTCCAGCAGCTGATGAATGGACTATATTTATTGAGGAGTGAAAACATCACTAAAACCTGCAGGGTGAGATGGAAGAGCCTTGGGTCATGTTTGAGGGAGTAAGGATCAAACAACCCACTCTTTCTTTGTGTGTGTGTGTGTGTGCCAGTACTGGAACTTGAACCCAGGACCAGGACCTTGCACTCTTATTTGGCTGGTGCTGTACTTCTAGAGCCACAGCTTTACTTCCAGCATTTTGGTGGTTCATCAGACACAAGAGTCTCCTGGACTTTTCTAACAGGGCTGGCTTTGAACTACGATCCTCAGATCTCAGCCTCCTGAGTACCTAGGATTACAGGTATGAGCACCAGTGGTTCAGTCAAATGACCCATTTTTAACAGATGTGGTAAAGGAGGAAGAGAAGCCTGGAGGCTAGAGATAGGAGTGCTGTCCAAGGAGGGTATTGTTTGTTTGTTTATCATGGAGAAACCAGTGCACTTAAAATTTATGAAAAGAAGCCGGGCGCCAGTGGCTCACGCCTGTAATCCTAGCTATTCAGGAGGCTGAAATCTGAGGACTGTGCTTCAAAGCCAGCCCGGGCAGGAAAGTCCGTGAAACTCGTATCTCCAATAAACACTCAGAAAACTGGAAGTGGCACTGTAGCTCAAGTGGTAGAGCACTCACCTTGAGCTGAAGAGCTGAGGGACAGTGCTCAGGCCCAGAGTTCAAGCCCTACGACCAACAAAAATAAAATAAAAAATTTATGAAAAGAATCCAGTTGATGGGGAGCTGTTTACTTTACTGTATAGGAGAAAAAAGGATAGTTAATACTGTTGAGTAATATGTGTGAGGAGGGAGGTAGAGACCCAGAAATACTAGAAAGGTGAGACTAGGCTAGTGGTTCGCAATCCCACCCACAAAAGATAACATCTGGAGATACAATTTTGGTTGTTATAACTGTCACCCATGCCAGTGGCATATAGGTATGAACACTTGGGATCCTACAAAAATGTTCTACCATGCACAAATCAGGCCCCACCATAAGGAATGATCCTGCCCCCAAAGGTCAATGGCACTGAGGTTGAGCAACTCTAACTAGATAGAGGAGAGAACAAACGGTTAGGATAAAGGTTCAGTTTGGTAGAGAGACATCATAGACGTTTTCTCTGTCAAGAGAGAAAAGTGAGAACTTCAGGAGAGGCAGGGCATTCTTAATCATGGGACTAAAGCTGTGTAAGAAGAAAAGGAGGGAGAGGAACTGAGGGATTGGAATTAGTAGGTTCAACACTTGGGCAGTATTGATGGGAGTCAGCCTTATTTTCCTTCCTGAAGAACTTGGAAAACTAAAACCAGAGAGGAGTGTCTAGTAGGAAATGAGGATAGTCAATGTTGAGCAGGCCAGGTGTTTAAAATGGAAGTATTCATTGAAAGGTAAACATTGATATTTCCTCCAAAATTTATCTCTTGCAACTCAATCTTGGCAGTTGGGAGGTAATAAACAACTAGATAGAGACACCATGTATGGAATTGGTGTCCTTATGAAAAATATCCCAAGATGCCTTTAGGGCATTCTACCTTGTGAGCAGGCATCAATAAGGTGTCATCAAAGAATCATGAAATAAGCCCTCCCCAGAGATCAAGTCTGCCTTAATCTTAAACTTTCCAGCCTCTAGGACTCTAAGAAAAATATTTGTTACAGCCTCCCCACTTTCCATATTTGTATTATAGTATCCAGACAGACAGCTAGACAGACCATGGTCCAGATTGGACTCTGGCTTGGCAAAATGTGATGCCCTATCTGAAAACAAAAGCAACAAAGGGCTGGAGTGTGGCTCAAGTGATAAGCACCTGCCTGGCAAGCATGAGGCCCTGAACTTAAACTCTAGTACAGGTTTAAAGAAGGAAGAAGAGAAGAAGAAAAAGGAGGAAGAGAAGACTCAGCATCAAGACCAGAAAATGTCTCTCTCTCACAGTGTAGGGGTTGGGAAGACAACCATAATGGTTTCACTGAGAAACTAGAAGAACCTGAGAATAACCCACCACCACACCACACACCATAACCACCTACTTCCCCACATCCCTGTCTAAACATAACCTTCTCCTCTCTCACCACAATGGATGGTCCAGGTCCTGGTCAAAGCCAGGCCTTCTCTAGAGCTCTGGATCCTCCTCTGCTGGCCTCTCAAAGATGGCTCTGCAGCAGCTCTTGCCCCTCCCTCACATGGCATCATTGTCAGTCCTCCACAACCTGGGCTACTCCAAACAACAGGTAAGCTCTAAACTTAGGGAGATTTCTTGAGTGAATGCTTGAACAAATTCTTCTCACAAATACAACATTAGAGAAATTTTGATTCTCTGTTATAGTAAAGAGGAAACCTTTGTATTCCAAAATCACCTGATAAAATTAATATGAATTTCTGGCTTGCTTGCTTTTTCACTTTTTTTTTTCTTGTATCAGGGTTTGATCTCCTGGCACTATACTCACTCAGCTTTCTTGCACAAAACTGGAGGTCCATCACCTGAACCATGCTTCCAGCCCAGCTTTTAGCTGGTTTTTCTGGGGATGGTATCTTGAGGACTTTTCTGCCTGGGTTGGCTTCAAACTCTAATCCTGTAGCTCTCCGCTAGAGTAGGTAGGGTAACAGGTACAAATCACCAACACCCAACCAGCACCAATTTGTTCTTAAAAACTCTTAATGAATTCAGTATACAAGGAAAATTTCTGGCTATCAGAAAGCATTAAACAGAACACTCCTTGTTGAAACATTACAAGCATTCCCAAAGCCAACCCAAGACTGTCTGCAGTCTTCAAAGTTAATCTAAGATGTCAAGAAGAAATGAACAACAATGAAAACAATGCCTAAGGCTGGTGGCAAGGACTGTGCAGTATTTTCCCAGAGCAGGTGGCTAGCAGCGCCCCCAAGTGATGAAGAATATTATTTAACTCCATGTGTTGTGGTGGGACCCAGATGGATCATACCTCCCCAGGAGCACAGCATGGAGATTCTTCATCTCTTAATAGTTTTGGAGCTCTGGAATGTGTCATCTGCTCTGTCAAAGGGTCCTTCCATCCATGAGTCTGGAATGCCTAATGCAAAGGTGAAACAAGAGTTGAATTAGAATTCATTTTGTAGGGAGTGGTGCTGTAGTTCAAGTGGTAGAGCGCTATCCTTGAGCTGAAGAGCTGAGGGACAGTGCCCAGGCCCAAAGTTCAAGGCCCACGACTGACAAAAAAAAAAAAAAGAATTCATTTTGTAGTAATTGTGAAAGTGTCCACTGGCAGTGGTGGGTCCCTAGACAGCTGGCTCATACTCAACAGTAGGTGTTGTTACTCCTTGTCCTGTGGCAGTGTATTGCTTCTGCCTATTTTCTGAGCTTGGTCATGTGAATCAACTTTGTCTGTTTTGTTTTTGTTTTTGGTCAGTCGTGGGGCCTGAACTCTGGGCCTGGGCGCTGTCCCTCAGCTCAAGGCTCAAGGCTAGAGCTCTACCATTTGAGCCACAGCACCACTTTTGGCTTTTATCTGCTTATGTGGTGCTGAGGAATTGAACCCAGGGCTTCTTGCATGCAAGGCAAGCACTCTACCACTGAGCCACCTTCCCAGCCCTCAACTTTGTCTTACTATAACAAAAACCTGAGATAACCAACTGCTGAAGGGGAAAAAAAAGGATATTTTGACTCACAATTTCAGAGGTTTCAGTCTATAATCAATTGGCTCCATTGCTTGTGCCTACTGTCGAACTCTTTCTCATTATTCAGCTCCCATATCATTGAAATAAATTGTGTGTGTGTGTTTGGGCTGGGAAGGTGGCTCAGTGATAGAGTGCTTGCCTTGCATGCCTGAGGCCCTCACCACCACATAAGCAAAAAGAAAAAAGCCGGAAGTGGCACTGTGGCTCAAGTGGTAGAGCGCTAGCCTTGAGCTGAAGAGCTGAGGGACAGCGCCCAGGCCCAGAGTTCAGGCCCCACGACCGGACCCAAAAATAAATAAATAAATAAATTGTGTGTATGTATGTGTATGATGGTACTGGGCTTCAGCTCAGGGCCTCACATTCTTGCTTAGATTATTTTGCTCAAGGCTGATGCTCTACCACTTGAACCATACCTCCATTTCTAGCTTTTTTGCTGATTAACAAGAGATTGGAGTCTTTCAGATTTGTCTTCCAGGCTGCCTTTGAACTTCAGTCCTCAGGTCTC